AAGTTCCTGCCACATTGCAATTAGATCTGCACGCCCAACAGATCCCCTGGCTGCCACCTGCCACTTGCAGGAGGAAATCATGTTTTTTTAACCTACGTACTTCAGAGACACTCCAAGTCCAATGGGGCGCAGAAAGGTCCCACGATCCCCATTAGGGTATAAATAAATATATATTTTAATGACCGCCTCCCCATCCCGGATTCCCCAACCGGGGGGTGGAGAAAGAAAGACCTGCCGTGTGCATGTCTGGCACAGTCCATCCCAACATCAGGCCCCCCCCCCAAATAAACTTCTTAGGTGATGGCCAAACCATAACAACCTGCCTCCCCCCCGCCCTGCACCCCAAGTCTTTGACTCCCGGGTCCAGCATCCCCACCCAGTCCAGGAGGAGCCGCCGTGGGGCCTCCTTCCAGAGCCTCGCCGCCCCCAAGAGGCCTCCCCTCCAGCGCGGCGCGACTTACTCACCACCCGGTTATCCCTTTTGCCCATGGCGTGCAAAAAAACCTGCGGCGCCCGGCGCCCGGTCAGAACCGCACCGGCCTAGCTGAGCTCCCTTTCTCCGCTACCCGTCAAGTTGTTGGTTTTTTTTCTTAACCATCGAAACGCTACCGAGCATGCTCAGTGGCACTCCGAGCATGCTCAGTGGCAGGCCTCGAAGCGCCCCTGCCCTTCCTTCCTTGCCCACACTCGGGAGTCGGGTTGCAAAAGCGCGCTGCTGGGAATGGGTGGACGAGTTCGGCGCGTCTGGATGAGGGACTTGGGAGGCTCGCGGGTCGCGGTGCAGCAGGAATTGCTCGCCCGCTTGCACTTGTGAGCAAAGACCGATTCTGCAAGCGAAAACAGCAGTCTGGTTTGGAAAGGGGTGTCTGTAAAGGTGCATAAAAAGAGCCTCAGATTGAGGCAGGGTCAGGCCGCATCACATTTGTGCGGTGCATTTACCTTTCGTCAGAAAGAACTATTTGCAAGAGAGGGGATGGCGGGCGGGCGTGGGAGAAAGGGAGCATGAAGGAAAAAATATATGGAATAATGCAAGTGCTTAAGGGAGAGGAGGAAACACACTCTCCTCCCTCCTATCCGCTTAAGGTGTTCCTCGCCCCCACCCACTTAAGGGATTTCCACATTGCAGCCCCCTCGCTTGCGCTTCATGCACCCGATTGTGTCCCATTCCCCAATATGGGGAACAAATCTGGGTGCTGCCGTCAGAATACATCTCCAGGTCTTGGAAAAACACACTCCCTGTTGCAGCGTCTGGGGGGAAGAGTTTCAGAGGGCCTGCAGCGACTGCAGAGCAAGCCAGCGGGGTCTTCCCTTAAGAGGGACCCAGGCAACATAGGCTAGCCTTCTCCCAACCTGCTGCTCTCCCCATGTTTTAGGCTAGAGCAGGGGTCAGCAAACCTTTTCAGCAGGGGGCCGTTCCACTGTCCCTCAGACCTTGTGGACTATATTTTGGGGGAAAAAAATATATGAATGAATTCCTATGCCTCACAAATAACCCAGAGATGCATTTTAAATAAAAGCACGCATTCTACTCGTGTAAAAACACGCTGATTCCCGGACTGTCCGTTGGCTGGATTTAGAAGGCAATTAGGCCAGATCCGGCCCCTGGGCCTTAGTTTGCCTTCCCGTGGGCTAGGCTCTTGTCAGTCGCAGCCCGCAGGCCCCTCTGGAGGCTGCAAGCCTAGCAATACTGTATGCATGGAGTAAAAAGTACAGCCAGAGGAATGATTTGGAAGCTGCAAACTGCAAATTGGCAGGGGATAGGGATGTCTGCAGAGACGAGTAAAATAAGTAGGGCCTATCAAAGACAGCCTTTGCTGCCTGAGCCAAATGAAAAGATGAGGCCTCTCTGCCCCCTCCCCCTTTCCATATGGGAAAAAACAAAACTGATCAGATTGACAGTTTGAATCTTACTTCAAAACTGACAACAGAAGTGTTTTTCCACTGCCTCTGAGGACAACAGGCCAGCTTAGGGCACCTACAGTAGGCCACAATCCCTCTAAAAACTTGGGCACATCCACACCATAACTTTAAATCTCTGTGATACCACTTTAAATAGTCAGGGCTTCCCCCAAAGAATTCTGTAGGTTCTTAAGGGTGCTGAGAGTTGTTGGGGGTCCCCAGTTTCCCCACAGAACTACAGTTCTCTGAGTTCCCTGTGAATTGGATCTCTGTGAGGGGAATAAAGGTAAAGGGAAAGGGACCCCTGACCATTAGGTCCAGTTGTGGCCGACTCTGGGGTTGCGGCGCTCATCTCGCTTTATTGGCTGAGGGAACCGGCGTACAGCTTCCAGGTCATGTGGCCAGCATGACTAAGCCGCTTCTGGCGAACCAGAGCAGCGCACGGAAACGCCGTTTACCTTCCCGCCGGAGCGGTACCTATTTATCTACTTGCACTTTGACATGCTTTCGAACTGCTAGGTTGGCAGGAGCAGGGACCAAGCAACGGGAGCTCACCCCGTTGCGGAGATTCGAACCGCCGACCTTCTGCTCGGCAAGTCCTAGGCTCTGCGGTTTAACCCACAGCGCCACCCGCGTCCGTGTGAGGGGAATAGGGGTCTCCTAACAACTCTCAGCACCCTTAAAAAACTACAGCTCCCAGAAATGTTTGAGAGGAGTCCATGGCTGTTTAAAGTGGTGTCAGATAGATTCAAATGTATGGTGTGTGTGCGTGCCTGCTCACCACCATATTATATTGGCCGTCCAAATCGGTACGAATGTTCACTGCAATATAACCAGTGCTTTTCTTCTAGGGAAAAAAGTGTCGGTACTGTGTACCCTTGAGTACCCCCAGAAAAAAGCACTGCATTCATCCCATAAACAAATCAGAATGAATGCTCAGTAAACACTGGGTGTAGTATAAACACTGTGAAAGCTTTGCACACTCAAATTGGGATGAATGCTGAACAAACAGGTGGTCTGGAGGAGTCCATAGTGTATTATGTAAACCCGACTGCTACTGTTTGTAACTCTTTGATGTAACTGGATATTGGAAAACTAGAACATATAAAAGGAGTATGAGATATATCATGATGATGTTTTTCAGTGTATGCGCAATGACCCAAAGAAGATCAGAACAAGCTCAATGAGAAGCACAAACCATTTTAACCAGCAGTGAGTAAGCACATGGAATTCACACATTTTTGAAAAGAAAACTGTAGTCTGGGTAGGCTTGAGAGTGTCTAGGGAAATTGATTTTAAAACCAGATGTGGCTGAAGTACTAAGTATGAACAGTGAACTCATGTTGCTAGGTCAAGAGTGGGGTGTCAAGCACGAGGGAAGTCTTTCTAACTGGCTCTCCTCTCTTCAGGTCATGTCCCTCACAGGCCTTCCTTGAATGCTTTTGTCAGCCTGCAATGTGTCCTTAAAACATAGCTGTCAAGCATCCCTTATTTGGCGGGACAGTCCCTTATCCCAGCGCCATGTCCCGCTGCTGTCCCTTATTGATGATGTCCCTTAAATTTCCCGGGTTTCAAAGGAAGCAGCTCCTCTCCCTCCCTCCCTGCCAGCCAGGGAGGAGGGAGGCGCCAGCTGTGTTGCTTGGCTGTGTTGCTCACCCAATAAGGAGTCTAAGAACGACTGGGGGGTGGAGCTTGCATGCCTTGTGCCGATCAAATCGGCCGTGTTGCCTGGGGACTCGCCTTTGCTCAGCGCTTCCCAGCGGAGAGGTGACGGTGGTTTTCCTTGCTGCATCCCCTTTGCTGGGTTGCTGCGCTATGGGAACCACCGCTTGAGGCTTTGTTTGGCTGCTGGTTGACTAAAATCCCTTATTTTGGCTGCTGATCCCTTATTTTCGAGGCTGCTGGTCCCTTATTTTCAAATCTGTAAGTTGACAGCTACGCCTTAAAATGTGATAATACATATTGCTTTCCTGAATGGAAGGTGAATGTGTGTGTGTGTGTGTGTGTTCAAACTTCTGGCCTTTACAGGGGTGGAACGTAGTCTACTGTACAAAGGAAAGAGTCATTTCCACTGCTGTACCCATTTTTGTCTCTGGTCTCTCCTTCCACTGGCATGTGGCCTCCAGAAAGTTGCTTATGAGGCATGCAGGCCTCAGGCTGAAAAAGGCTCCCTCCTGCTGAAAGTCATGCAGCTTTCAGTTAGTTAAACATTTAACTGTGTGGGATGAAATCGTACATGGGAGTTTTACATACAGTGCCTTGGCTAGGATAGTCTAGTTATTCGTGTCAATTGCTACAGTTCCACTGACTCATATCTAATGGTTTTCATTAGCTGCAGCAGCACAGAGACGTGAGCTGTTGCACATGAAATAAGCTTGGCACATGAAAACAACTGTCAGGCTCTGCCTGCTTGCGATTGAAAAGCATTAGCTGGCAATTATTTCTCCACACGTTGCACCAAGAATCTCAAGTTTAACCTTTCCATCTTTTTTTTCTCAGGAGGCTGTGAATATCTCTCACAAGGAGACACATGCCGGCTCTGTGACCTCCCCATTGTATCCCATGCACTGCTGAGGCTCATAGGGTCACTCACTTCATTTGTTTACACAAGATGAGCACCAGGATCACAATTTTTAAACTGGTGCTCACCCTTGTTCAGATCATATTCTAAAATTATCTAGGTGAGGGCCAGGGAACCTGTGGTTCTCCAGATGTTTTCAAGTGGAGGTAGGATGGCCATCTGTCATGGATGCTTCAGTTGAGATTCCTGCATTGCAGGGGAAGGACTAGATGATACTCTGGGGTCACTTCCAACTCTGCAATTCTATTTTGCTGGACTATGGCTCCCATCATCCCTGACCATCAGGCATGCTGGCTGAGGCTGATGGGAGTTGGAGTCCGGCAAGTTAACCATACTTGCATCTAGATTCTGGTGTCCCCCCCCCCAGCTGTCAGGAAATTTCTCTGATTTATTTTAAGAGATACCATGTTGAAGACCACATTTATATTACATTGCTTTTAGTTTAGACAGATTGCACTGAAGTTGATAGGGAGCATCTACTAGTGAAAAATAACAATAATAATAAATCACAGGAACCAGATGATGTTAATCTGTTTTTTTTTAAACACCATAACATTGTACACCAAGGCTTTTATAAATTCACAGGTATTTCAGATTTTAAAACAGCATCCCTTACAAAAAGATGTCTCTCAGAATATGATGAGTCCCTGCTGCATTGCAGAGTTACAGGAAATTATTCAGGGCATCAAGTTCAAAGTACACTTAATATTTGTTTGAGAATGACCCAAAAACTCCCAATTTGACACTTGCTAGTTTAACACCCCCCCTTAATTTACAATGATTAGTATCTTGGTAAAGAATATCACGAAAAGAAAAATAAAACCATTTAACAGCAAATCTCACCATAATATGTTCCCCCAACCATTCGCCTATACAAGGATACACATAATGAATCAGTATTTTGGTAGGCATGAACTCTTGCAACTAAGCCTAAACCATGAAAATGGTACTTTTGAAATACAGACTTTTATATCCAGATGCCAATATTTACTTCTAGCTCTGTGGCTTTCATTTATGGTTCAGCAATTAGGTTGCCAGCATTTTAACCAGCGGCTTGATCTACAAGCATTAGCCAGTGATAATGTTCATCTCAGTGCTGAGAAAGGGGTCATTTGCTGATTTCAGCAAATCATGCCACTAATAAAGAAACGGGAGCAGGCTAGTCAAAGCTTTTGTGGTAAGCTGGCAATCCTATCAATAAACACAGAATACTTTGTAAGTCATAGTGAAGAGAACATAACAAGAGCCTGGTGGATCAGGCCAGTGGCCCATTTAGTCCAGCATCCTTTTCCCACAGGTGCCTGTGGGAAGCCTGTAAACAGGATCCAAGCACAACGGCCCTCTCTCCTTCTGTTACAAAAACCTTCATGTACAATGATACCTAAGGCTTACTCTAATGACAAGAAATCAGTGAAACGGCTTTAGGTATCCGTCACTGACTAGTTTCTAGTGACAATGTCAAACCAAAACACAGAAAATAAATCAAGCTCTTTTCTTCTAATTTTAATTTCCAGCACGATCCTCTTCCACTCTACTGTTCTACATGTATATTTCGCTTTACCAAAACTTTCAAGTTTACATACATTAAAAAAAACCAAAACAAACAAATGAGACCTAAAAAATACTACGTCCAATAAGCTTTCTCTCTTCAGTTGCAAAATGCAAATATTATACTATGCGGCTCACTCAGATTATGTACTTTATATCCTGTCTAACATTTAGTCCCTACAATCAGATTAGCAGCTTGCATATCTAAAACATTTTAAGGCAACCTATATTGTAAAAGCACAGACCTTCTACACTTGCAGCTACTGACACGTTCCCTAAAAAGGCTAGTAATATACTACACTTGTTTTTAACTCTGAGAAGCCAATAGTAGTATCCGTTTTAGTAAAGAAAAGCACACATCAATTAAAATAGCAATCATTTACATTGCAGATAAAATAACTTGGATATAAATGTCCATCTTTTCAACAAATGTTGACCCCAACAATTGGGTCCAAGTGCTGTTACTAACCATGTGTCCTCACTGCATCAGTCAGTTACGAACCAGGAACCTGAGACTGCAAATACTCCCTTGCAATTGTAAACACACTTATTCCCAAGTAAATCTCATTGGTTTCAATGGAAGATGTTGAAGAGCAACTATGCTTAGGGTCGAGACCCTGAAACTCGTCTTGAAATGACTTGCACTGCAATGATCCTGTAGAAAAGTCAGTTGACTTCAAGAAATGTAAATGAAACTACTCAGGGATAAATGGGTTGAGGATTGAGATTTTATTCTATTCCTGTAACAGCCCAAGCCAGCTGAGCCAGAGGAATTGACTTTAGTAGGATGATTTGTAGCCCCGTCACCAATATTTGCATTGGCATATCTGTCTGCCAAAAATGGATACAGCTGCATTTTGTATCATGGTACTTGGGATGCTCAATCGACAACATTTATTTGGGTAAGTTTTAGGATCACTCCATTAGTCTAACTGAAGCATGGGAACTCTACATGCACACAGACTCTTATCAGTTTGCCTTAATAGGATAGCCCAGTGCTGCTCCCATCTATTCAAGTGAATGGGGAGATCCATTTACATGGGAGCTCTGCTTACACATCTGAGCACCCAGAGTTTAGAACCAGGGGACACAGTCCATAATCTAAAGACCGGCGTGTGCAGAACCTTCCCGTTCTCTTCCATGAAGGGATCCAGGCATGGACAGGAGATTCTTGTCGTGTACAGAGTGATCTCCTTGTGCTTAGATGTGAAATTCCATGACCATGAAGTTCTAGACTTCCATTAGAACCATTGGATTAAGGCTATTGCATAGAATTACGATTACGATGGAGCTGTACTTGGGACCACAGCTGAAACCAACTGAAGCATTTAGCTTAATTGCAGGCGACCAATTATACCGCTCTTGTATATTTGCATGTTCAGGCCCTAGGACTGAAGGAATATTAACTTGTGAGGAAATAAAAATACATGACTATATAATAATAATAATAATAATAATAATAATAATAATAAAAACTACTCAATGGCACATGTACAAATGAAAACGTGTTCTGATTCTCAGAGAATGCACCATATTCCCCACATTCTGGATTTCAAGTTATAAAACAGGTCTTTGAAGCGATGATTTTTACATATATATATAATATTATATGAATGCTCAGGTTCTCAGGGCAAATTCTGCCCCAGGCACCAACCTTCTGTGTTTACACAGTGAACCCACAGACACACAGCCTTTCACACAACTCTCTTTAGCAGGAGGGGGGATATTATAACAGGGTCTAAACAGCAGGCGGCTGAGGTGGAATGCAGGTGTTCCCCACCATATACGCTATTCTGTCATCAATATGTGGCAAAAGCAAAGGTGTAATGGCTGAAGAGGAAGGCATTATAGGTAGACCACTACAATATGGCACTGAGGGACACAGCATGAGATGCAGAGTCAAGGAGAACAGATTATTACCGATGGCTCTTCAGGAAGGCCACGCCAAATATGTGGAGAAAATGGGGACCTCAGATGGTATTTGATCTTGCTAAGGTGAACACATCATTCAAAAATAAAAAGCAGTACTGGATCAGAAGAATAAAAAGTGGGAAAACTGTGACATTCCACATGTTGCTGGACAAATGCAAGTTGGAGCCTGACAACATCTGGAGAGCAACCCCTGTCCTAGTAGATCTAAAGAGCATGGGATAAATCATTATTATTTAAAAATGCAAGCCCCCCGCCATATAAATTCAGCCCTCCTGAATGGTACTATGTGATTACCAGTCAGTGGCAACAGGATTTGTAAGGAGGCCACTTTGCAGGGTGGCGAGTCAGGGCCCTGGCCTCTCTGCTGCTGACTCCACCGTCCAAGTGGCCCTCCAAGGCTTAGACAGGGCTTTAAGTGCTTTCCTTTTTAGCCAGTAGAACAATTTGTTAGGAACTTACAAAGGTGCCTTATTCTGCTTCAGACCATTAGTCCATCTAGCCCAGGATGGTCTACTCTGGGAGGCAGCTGCTCTGCAGATTCTTAGGCAGACTCTTTCTTGTTCAACCACCTATGGTTCTTTCAAATGAAGATACCCGAGACTGAATTTGAGACCTTCTGCATGCAACGTGTTGCCTCTACTGCTGCACCAATACTCATTTTGCTGTATATCAGAACCTACCAGGGTATACTGTTAGCATCTGGGCTCTGAACAAGGTGTGAAGGGGTGGGAGGCTGTGGCCCTCCAGATATTGTTGCACTTGAACTCCAATCAGTCCCAGCCAGCATGGCCAATAGTTAGGAAAGCAACATCTGGAGGGTGACAGGTTCCTTTCCCTCGCTCCAGGGGAAACAGGATTTCCTCCTGCAAATGCAAAAACCAGGTTAATGAGAGAACTGAACACCTTATGTGTTTCAGGTTTGACCTGAAATGGCTTTGGACAAGCTCATTCTAAAGTGCCTTATGAAAACGCTTGAAATGCTGAACAGCACCAGTCAAGACTATTCATTGGTACCTTCCATTAACTTATACATTGTGCTAGACACAGTGCAAGTAGGTTTAAAAACATAACCTACAGGTGAGCCTAATCATGCTTACTCCCAGGTGAGGGAGGGTTAGAACTGCAGCCTTGATCTAGGATGCCATTATGCTTTTACAGCGAGGAAAAACGAACCCCTCTGTATGAAAGTTCCAACACACAAATTGTATTAAGATGGAAGTGTCCATGGGTTTTGATTCCATGTTGTGAAATACTTTTAAAGTTATCATGTCACAAAATGCAAGAAAGGTAAATTGCTATGGAATTACTTTTGTTACTAGATCCAGAGCTTATATAAAAAAATAGTTTGAACAAGTCGTGCCCATGGATTCAGTCATATGGTTTTTGCATTTATTGCCTTAGAAATACAGCTGCTCTGCAGGTTCTTAGGCAGACTCTTTCCTTCTTCAACCACCTACGATTCTTTCAAATGAAGATACCCAAGACTGAATTTGGGACCTTCTGCATGCAGTACAGAAATACAGTTTTTTCCCCCTTAGCACCACAATTTCCCATAGCCTTAGCATCCGTTAATCGTTAGCTTTCAAAACTTACTAAAATCCTGCTCTACCCTAATGAAGGTTTACCCAAGGTTTTTGCTTACATGGCTACTTTTAAGTTTTTTTAAATGAGTTCCTCCAAAGTTATATTTACATCTAGGTCAATGACCACAATCCGGGAGTTCTTGTATGCTTGCTTGGACATGCATGGCTCCCCTCACTCCTACTTTACCTCTTCTGCTAATTGTCAAGAATTAACTGAACTAATTTCCCAAAGTGTGCACTGGTGCCCCTTGTGGCGACCCATTGGAAGTGATAGAAATCATGTTTGGAGACAATAGCACCCCACTGCATGCAAGAGGTGCCATATGTATCGAGCTAACTGCTGGATAAATCCCCTCGAGGAAAAGCAACCCAAATGCATTGGGAACAAGTGATTAAGTAATAAATGCAGCTTGTCTGCACAATACCTTGTGTGTTTCTCATTATTGTACTTGGGGAAAAGCTATAGCTCAGTGGTGGAGAGTCTGCTTTGTTCCAATCTCCAGCGTCTCCCAAGGATGGCTGGAACAGACCATTGTCTGAAATGCATAAAGGCACTGCTCAGTCAGTGTAGGCAATACAGAGCTGGATGCACCAATGGTCTGACTCAGAATAAGGCAGCTGTCCATGCTGGCGACCCTCCTTTCCTTGCTCTTGTGGTGAGTCAATTTTTCTCTTCCAAGGTTCCAGCATGGGTCCTTGCAGGCAGCCCATCAGTTCCTCCTGACCCTCATTGCTTTCAGTTGCTTCCTGGTCAGGGCTCTCTTTGATTTGACAACAACCAAATTCTGGCTCTGCTATGTGGCTTTGTAGCTCTCCTCCTAAGGCAATTTGTGTCACTATTCTTGGGTCTCTCTGCCTGCCAGTCTTCTAGCTTCCTCATCTGCCTGCCTTTCTTTTTACTTGTTGCTCCTACCCAATCTTGCCCAGTCTTCTTCAGGTGAACTGTTACCCCAAACTATGCTCAGCTATACCTCTGCTGTGCTACATTTCTATGGCTCTTGCTTTCTACATTCTGCCTAGGCCCTCCTATGGGATTTGCCCCAGTGCACCATCACAACTCTAGCCTCGGTCATGATGGGACTTCTGCTTTCATTTGCCCACATGCTTGGCTACGCATAGCTCAGTACTAACAGGACATGCACAATACTGTTTTTGCATAAACAGGTTATATAATTTCCCTGCACGACCTCCATGCACTTTTCTACATTATGTTGTTCACAATATAAATACTAAGAGGCGTGGCTTTGTGCTAGTGTGAGGAACACTTTTTGAAACACCCTGATCCTAAGCACAGTACTTGGAGGGGTTTCAGTGGGTTGTAGTTGTGCTTAGGATGAAAGTGCTTGACCAAATTCAGTAGCAGGAATAGCAAGTGACCACTACAGAGCAAAATCTCAAAAAAGTGTGAGGATTTACCTCTCCTGAAGTCATGAAAAAGCCAGCAGTTCTCATTGATTCATAAAAGGACCTTTGCAATTGTCTGAACACCACTGGTTCAGAGCAAATGAATAAAAATAGCAAAAAGGTACATTGCTGGGAATTTGCAACTTAAGCATTCTTGGACAAGGACCTGTAATCGTAGGGTACCCCAAGAATAGTCTTTCCCCTACATTTTGATAAAAATGGGTTGGACAGAAGTAGCCATTTTGCGAAGAGCCATTTGCTGACAATGAAAGTTTGGAATGTTATATGCTAGGAAACTGCTGAACCTCACTGAACTGCTGATTCTCACTGAACCACACATTTGCAAGCATTTGTGGCAATGTGCTGAACAATATTATGAACAAGGGAAGTTGGCAACATTGGGCAGAATGCAGAGGGAACGAGCAACACAAGCACAGAGTTATGTGCTAAAATCTTATTATGACTAAGGTACTCACCCATTCTCTAGCTATACCTACTGTGGACAATGTCCACTGCCTTCCAAAGCTCTGCTCTCAACATTGTATCTCTACAGATATAGAATACCTGAAATTATGTCCCAATACCAGTCAATGAAATTGAGTGGGGTGGGATGGAACTAATTAACACCCTGTCCAAAAGCAGAATATGAGAGAACATCTGACAGAAAGTACTGGTAGAGAATTTCTAATCGACATATTGTACTAGCAAATCTCATCCAAACTTCAGTTCAAACAGAACGATACTAATTAGAAAGGTTTCACATAGCAGACACCGCAAAAGCACTGCATGCTTTTGTATTCACTTTCATTTAACACAGCAAACACAGTTAAAATGCCTGACCTTTTAAAGCATAATGTACATTTTATGACCGGTATGTATCTATATAGAAGTCCTGATAATGTTTGTAAGTTTGCAGGGAGACATTATCTTTTAACTAGAAAACTATCACAGCATATCTAATTATTCCACCTTTTAAAATAGGCATTGTTTCTAGCAGCCAAGAGATTTGTCCTTTGTACAAATAAAACATTATTCTAAAACAAGTATCTCATATAAATATAGAAACGGAGCACAATACATTAGGCAACACGACAATAGATTTTGGCAAATGAAAATGCAGGTGGACAATCCAAACAAGGCTGATCTATGATACCAAACAAAGCAAAGGGCCAGTCTGTGACTTCTGCTAACCCAAGCAGCTGAACTAAATGATATGAGAGCTTCAGGGTATTACCTTCCAATGGGGCAGAGGATGTTGGTGTACAGTACAACATATCCTAGGGCTTTATGCCTCGGATTGCACACTGCACATGCTTAAGTAGTCAGAGCGTGTGTTGACCTATCCCACCTGCATGGCAAATGGCAAGAACCATGTAGCTGATGCAATATCCCACAAAATTCATTGAACGGTCTGGGTTCACAGGGATGTCCTATCCTGCAAAATATTTTTCTTTTCCCACAGAAGACTCCTCCTGAACACCCGGTTTGGTGCTCTAGATCCCAATCCAGAGAGCTGTGTTTGGTGGGCTTGGCGTGTACAGCAAGGGCCGATTCCTTTCCATCTCATCACAACTGCCTGAAAAACTGATCCTCAGACACCAGGGAACCTTCCAGTGCAGCATAAGGCACTGCTGCCAGAAGTGGGAAAAGCAAGGAGTCCCATTGGTCACCCCAAGCCCTTGTGCGTTCTAGAGGGGCTCTCTGGATTGGGGCCAAAGATTTTAACTGGAGGCAGGAGAGCTTCCTATGCGGAGGTGCCCTAAGCATTTATAGTTTCATTCCTGTGCTGAATGAACAGATATGCACAAAGATACATATCCTAAAGCTTACGGAGGTCCATAACTTACATTTTGTGGCACCTGGTGTCGGGGGGTGGGGAACACACTTTTAAAGGGGATAGTCAAACAAAAATATAAGCAGCTGAATGACAGGATTAATATGCCAGTAACCGGGGGTACACTGGGAAGTATGGAAAGGTTCCTTCTCTAATCAGGGACCCAGGAAACAGCTTTATACCAGGTCGGGCTATTTGTCTATTTAGCCTGCTCCCATCTATGTTGGCTGGCAGTGTTCTCCATAGTTGCCAGAGACTGAACCAGAGACTCTCCATACGGAAAGATCGTGCTCTGAGCTGTGGTGTCTCCCCAATCCTCTCTTGGGCAGCTTGGTTACACCTCAAACATGGCAGCAATTTGGGTAGACTAGAAAGAGACTGAGGTTTGCGACTGGTCACGCAAGGTGCTTTTGCATCTATGAACTGTGAGATGTTGGGACTTGGCATGACCTAAAGTCATGACGTCGCTATGCCCCGTGACTACCATAAATCAACTATCAGCACGTTAAGTTTTAGTGACATGCTGTTATGGATACTATGACAAATGGATGATTTCAGCTTCTGGAAATTAACTTTTAGATGTGTTGTTAAGTGGCAGAAAACTTCCATAGCATAGCATTCTTTTTTTTTTACAGTGCACCCCCAATAGTCCTTCCCAGATGCAGGTGTACTTCGATTATGGAAAAATTACAGGTCCTGGAAAGTGCTAATTTGGGCTGTATGTATCTTCTTTCAGAGATAAGAAAAACAGTATCATAGAGATAGTGGCAATCATGGCTACATACATTGATTGATTTTTGTAAAAGGTGTTTTGATCATAGACCTTTGGCTTATAGGAACATAAAAAAGGGATGCTTCCTTCAAAATTCTGGAAATGTGCACCACCTAGTGGCAGCACTCAGAATAATTTCACACTTCGCCAATTGCATCAGAGGGGCATATGAAAGCATAGTTTGGTCCTGTGAGCTTAATTTTTTATAGTTCTGAATGCCATCTGTATGGGGCAGGGAGTGATCAGGCCTACAGTGGGGATTTTTTTTTACTCCTTTACTCTTGCAATGTGATATTGAGTAAAATCAAAACCCCACCACACAGTTGTTGTTTGTGCCAATAGCACCTTCCCTTGTGCCCGAAAAAGCAACGGGAGCAGGGAGGGCAATTTTAGTCAGGATCACACCATGGGATTTTGGGTGGTAGAAAAGGGTCATCCCCTCCCCTTGCTCTGACTAGGCATCTACGTGCCCACTACTTAAAGACTAGGAAAATTAAGCATGCAAAGTGAAGCTACACACTGCACCTAACGCAAACCTTTTGTGCCATGCGATGCTCAGGGCACACCCAAAAGAAAGCTTTCGCTACACTTCAGTTGAGGCTTTAGGGCAAAGGATGAGCAGCAGCACCTGGGGGGAAAGTCCACTGTGTTGGAGAATTTTTGCACACCAACATCCTTCCATTTCCCTGCTGCTGCATGGAGAATGCACCAGAAAATGTTGGAGGAATCTCCTACAAGTGAACATGCAAGGACAGAAGAGAGTGGCTGATACAGTTCAGGGCCAAATTACAAGTGACCTTACCAGCATAGTTCTGCCCTTGAGTATAGGTCCTCATTTCCAGTGCTGGCCTCCCTATTCTGATTGGCAACCAAGCATGGGGCTAGTGGGCTTTAACCCTATGTGCTCTCATTCTGATCTGGATTGGGCTTCCCTGCACTTGTAATTTGCATTGCAAAGAAAGGTCCCATTTAAACAGATTTTTTTGTGGGGAGAGCCCCAATCCTGTTTGGTAATGCAAAGGGTTAAAGCCACCTGTCCCCATGCTGGAGGGGTCTCAGCCTGTCCCCTGAGAGAAAACTGCACCCAAGGACAGAACTACTCAATTGTCCCATAGATTTCGGCCCCCAGTAAATTGAAACGACAAAAACAAAAACAAAAGGATGGGTTAGCACAGCAATAATTATTGTATGTGTTAACAGTACTAGCCATCAGTTATTTCCAACAGCACCTATCCCTCTGGTTGTTGCTGTTGTTACAGCTGTAACACATTTGGGCAGTATTTCCCTAGAGTTACATCTGGATCACTACAGTAGAACCAGGCTAGGAGTACATCTTTCTCTCGTGGATTAAAAATATTTCATCAAAACCATACTACAAAAATAAATTTTCTTTTTAAAATTCTATTTTTTTTAAAAAAAACAAAAACCCTTAAAACTAAAATATATACAAAATTTAATGTAACATTTAAAGTATTTGTGATAAGGCAGCTAGGTGAATTACTGAATAAAGCTGGCTGGCATGTTTGGCAGAGAAAGCATAGCAAAGCGATCAATCTAAACGGTGATTCAGAAGGGCTCCTCCTGCTTCACGGTGTAGAAAAATAAAATATCCTAAATTACATGAAATGTAAAGGATCTGAGGTTGATATGCAGGGACAATTCGTGCACTCCAGTGCCTGAGGTTTATTGTGGGTAAGGCGTTCAGTGTTTGTATGTTAAGCAATGCTGTAGCGAGCACTTGCCTCCTAACAACACAATCCTATGCATGCTTCCTCGGAAGTCAGTCCCATTGTGCTCAATGTAGCTTACTCCCAGGAAAAAGCACACAGGATTGCATCCTTGCACTATAACCCTATACCTGTCAGTTCAAAAGTAAGTCCCACTGAGTTCAATGAATCTTACTTCCAGGTAAGTGACAATAGGATTGTGAAGTCAGATTTGTTCTCCGAAGACAGGGAAAACATTTCAGCACGTGCTTTTCATTGTTCACTGAAAATAATATGGAGGTAATACTAAAGGAACACTTGGTTTTTTGTATACCCATTTAAACACGTTAACTGGGCATGATAGATGTCGGAAATGTATCACTGCTGAAGATGTACAGCAGTATCATGAAAGGATGAATAAAGAGGTTACACTTTGCGATGACTGACATAATAACATCAGCAGACTAGAGAAGTGATCCTTACATTCTTTTTTTTTAAAAGTAACTCCACCTTTTCCCTTTTCCATATGTGCACAATCTTGTTAATAATACCCTTGTGCATTAAGCTAGAGACACAAGTTATTATGAGTAGCAACAAAATGCTGTAATTATCATCTCATGTTTCCTATCAGGGAAGGACATTCCTGTGTGATTACAATAGCCAGATGTGTTTGTACACATTTCTCTTAACTGCAGGCTGTATAGAGGTTCAGTATTTTCAATGTCATTCTTTTAAATATTGCATTTAAGGAAGTAATTTTCTGAAATCATTTTTTTAAGCAAAGCAAACAGACTATCACCGTTAACTCCAAAGGAGTACCGAATCAGACTTCAGCACCTAGACACCGAGGTTAAGTCAGGTTTTGGTAGTGAGACTGGATTTCTCTAATCCACGACGGCACCATTCAATGTAAGGAAGAAGAAAATGGCAGCAAAAACTGGTCAGCAGCTTCTCTTCACCTGGTGATCCTCAGGTCAACTAAACAAACATCAAGCCACAGAGGGAGTCATTGGAAACCTTGACTCTTGCATTTGCTTTGATGAAGGCAACTTGGTCATTTTCCGAGGAGAAGCAGGTCATCATCCCAAAGAAGCACTCAGACAACACATAGAGCCTCTGGGGAATAACCTTCAGTCAGACAGCTATGGTTTTTTTACCCTCAACGGTGACCTTATCATCTACATTTTGTTCATCTGTAAGTCGGACCTCAAGCAGCCTTATGGTGTAGTCATCTCAGTGGAGTTTTGAAGGGATGACAAATCAGAGTCTGTATTCTCCTTGCATTTCTCCAGATCATGAAAATAAGGGTGAGATAAGGCATCGTAAGCTGATATTCTCTTTGTGGGGTTGAATGCCAAGCATTTCTGTATGTAGGGAAAATGAGACAATTACAAATTAGAAGGCAATGTGGAGTCTGAGACAACAGCAAGGCTCATCTTATGATAGGTAAAAGGTAAAGGTACCCCTGCCCGTACGGGCCAGTCTTGACAGACTCTAGGGTTGTGCGCCCATCTCACTCAAGAGGCCGGGGGCCAGCGCTGTCCGGAGACACTTCCGGGTCACGTGGCCAGCGTGACATCGCTGCTCTGGCGAGCCAGAGCCACACACGGAAACGCCGTTTACCTTCCCGCTAGTAAGCGGTCCCTATTTATCTACTTGCACCCGGGAGTGCTTTCGAACTGCTAGGTTGGCAGGCGCTGGGACCGAGCGACGGGAGCGCACCCCACCGTGGGGATTCAAACCGCCGACCTTTCGGTCGGCAAGTCCTAGGCGCTGAGGCTTTTACCCACAGCGCCACCCGCGTCCCCATCTTATGATACTGTCCCTTAAAAGCTTAGCAAAGAATGGCAGCAGTTCCTTTATTCCGATTCAAGGAAAATAATGGGAAAACTGAGGTTTTCTGCCCTTGCTTCCAACCCAGCCACAGTACACCATGAGGGAGAGAAAAAACACTATAATTATTAATATCCAAAATGAGCAGAAAAGATTTTGACACACTTCATTTATGGATATTCTTAAAAAGTTATAATCAGAGGTTCTGACACTTGCACCCATCATCACTACTCCTATTAATTTCATATACAGTGGTACCTCGGGTTAAAGACGCTTCAGGTTACAGACTCCGCTAACCCAGAAATAGTACCTCAGGTTAAGAACTTTGCTTCAGGATGAGAACAGGAATCGTGCTCTGGCGGCGTGGCGGCAGCTGGAGGCCCCATTAGCTAAAGTGGTACCTCAGGTTAAGAACAGTTTCAGGTTAATAACGGACCTCCAGAACAAATTAAGTTTTTAACCCGAGGTATAAAGCATATTGCTTTTTGTTTGGGTCACGTGATACTGGCAGCAGCTTGCTTCTAAAGCTTCAGTGGAGCAGACACTTACAAGCAGCAAGTCTTTGCCTAGTTCATCGATATCCGTTACGAAAAGCTCAATGGGCTGCGGATCTCTAGCAGGAAAAGCATTCCTTGGGAGGGCAACGTCACTGGGCCAGTCCTCTTCTTTGGGAAGCCCAATTGCACTGCAAGGAAGAAAGAATCAGGCATTTAACTCCAAGAAAAGCACCACTACTTACTGCTTCATTCACACCCCTGCGCTTCTGATGACATATCTCACCCACTTGAAAAATGCACTTTGTGCCACACCCTGGCACTATCCCCCTAAAGCACACTTCCCCCAAACTGGTGCCATCGCTGATGCAGCTGATGCTAATCATGTGAGATCTCGCACACTCAGCAAGACCTCACACGATTTCAGCTGATGCCGGCACCGCTTCTGTGCTGGAGCAGGTGGGGTGTCCGCAGGGCTGTCGCCTTGGGGGCTTCTGCTGCCTGAAGCAGCTGATTCAGTCTTCCTAGTGACTGAGCCAGCTGTGCCCCCCCCAAATCCTCCACCCCTCCACTCCCAAAGTTAAAAAAGCAAAAGCCAATTAGAATTCAATGGGGATCACTCCAAGGCTAGTGGGTTAGGACTGCAGCTAGAAAAACCTCAATGTATCAGGATATATCAGAGTTTACTTATGATCACTGTTCTTATTTTTCAGTGGCATTGCAGCTTATGGTCACATAAGGGGAAATGTACAGGTGTCTGTACCCAAAGAGATTAGAATCCAAAACAGACAATGTTGAAAAACAACTGAGAGAGAGAAGAATGGGAGATCCAGGCCGGGGAATGTAGGCAAATGCAGTTACACATACTGTACCTAAAAGTTTGATTGCAGCTGGGAATTAAGTGGACAAGGCAGAAGATTTAAAAAAACAGGGCTGCAGGCAGAAAGGGAAGCAGGGGTCCCTGATGGACGCCTCATTGAGATACTTAGCTGTCATTTCATACCAGATTATAAGCAAAACTGGCATTTGCAATTGAGTTTAGTATTCCTTTGAGGCACAAAGCCACGTGGAAGGCTGGGAAACAAGAAGGAAATGTTTGTGTTGCGCCACAAGGCGGCAGCACTGCTCTAGTTTCCCAGGAACCATTCTTTTAGTGAGCATGTCTAGTGAATCTGTTACTGTATCTCAAGGTGGAACATTCTGCAGGTGTCAGGAGTACTGATTTTGGCTACCCAATAACCACAAGGCACAGGATAACCTTGCAGATCCTGCCTAGTGCTGAAGACCTCCCATAAGCAGGTTGATTTTGTTGTGGCCGTTGTGCAAACTCATGAGTCTTGCATGCATGGTTTACTAGCAAATTAAACGTACAGTCAGAAATAAAAAAAAATAGCTTTCAACTTCCTCTGTTGCAACTGTCTTTATCATAGCAGCTTTATTTATGTCAGTTTTTTTAAAAAAATCAAACCTACACTAATGCAGAATTTCCCCCGTGATATTTAAAATTCCTCCACAAGGTAATATAAAAACACCCCGGGATGGCACATAACATCAACTGAATGTCCTTATAACAGGATTAGCCGAGAGGCAAAAGAAGCACAGGAAAAAACCAGAGGATACAAAACACACTAGATGCTGGTATCTTATTAAAGCCCAGCCCGGAGGAGAGAGGCGGCCTGGGCGGCCCAGGTGAACTGCTGGGAGGTTTTGAACGGGATATGTGAAAATAACTAAAAATGAAATCAATACAAAATGAAACAAAACTATAACCACAATTAATGGGAGAGGAAAGGTTGTATTCAATGCATTTTCCCCACCAGAAATGTCACAAATAGTTTGCATTGGTCCTACTCAGAGTAGATCCTTTAAAATCCATAGGCACAGCTAACAGGGTCATTAATTCCAGTAGGTATTTCATTATTTTTATTTCATTATTTTATTTATTGAATTTATATACCACCATATACCCGCAGGTGTCAGGCTGGTTTACAGAAAAAAAATATTCTCTGAATAAAACTTAATTGAATACAACCCCAATACTTTTTCAGTTTATTATTTTATTTTTCAGTAGAGGTTGAGCAGGTTTACCATATAAAGGCTTAAGTATTTGCATATACATTAACTGTGGATGCCTAGTGATGCCATTATTTATTATTTGTTTTCTTCTTCCCTCTCCATTCTTCTCCCCTTTTGTGTTGTATTTCACATTCCTATTAAGATTTGAGTTTTTGGACGGTGACTGTCCTATCTTTTTTTCATTCATTCATTCATTCACACACACACACACACACACACACACACACACACACACTGCCTAATAATAAGAATACTTATTAGCACTTTTCATCATAACATAATGTATTTTTTTAGGTGACTGAGTTACTTCAGCTTCCCACAACTGCTGTTTTTCATTATCACACTCCCAGGACTGACATACATGATGGCAGCTACATGCATGTATCCCCGAAGTGTGGGGCAATGCAAGATTATGCAGTCAGCATATAGACAGCATGCTGTAAAGTTTCTTACAGATACACAAAACACATGACCTAACTACAATTCATGTAAATATATATGAATCAACACCTTGAGAACTAGTTACAAATAAATAAAAAATATAGGAGTAAATAGTGATGACCAGTAATGTGGGCAGGACACCTTTCCAGCGCTTACTTCTCCACAGAAAAATTCCATGTTTCATAAGTTCATTAGTCACAATGAATGGCTGTCAAATGCAAATACAGTATAAAGTGAGGTTGGCCATTTCTAATTATTTTGCTACACTTACTAAATGCAAGTAACGTCAACATACTAAATCAGAATACACTCTAGGGGATCTGATAATTTTTTCTGATGCAAACTGAACATTTTCCCATGCAAATTTCCCTATACAAATTATCCTAATGTGCATTCTAATTTCCCACTCAAATTTTCCCAGAAAACCAACATCACTGATGATGTCAACACCGATTGCAATGGAAATTGCTTCCACTCGAATGTGCTCAGGACCACAGCCCTGGTATTTTTACAACGCTTCTCCTAGGTGCTCAACGCATGTGGTTGTTCAGCTGCCCTTCTGCCCATGTATGAGAAAACAAAAGGTATGGGAAAGCAGCAGATGGGTGGAGGGATGGTCCTTCATCACAGCAGGAAGTTGGGTCAGACAGCCTTTTGGTCCAGGCCAGCCCTAGGATTCTATAATCCCGAATGAACTTTACAATTACCCTGGGAATTACAGCGACCACTCCTACTTGCTGCCTCTTGAACTACTTGGTGCACTTCCCTTGGTTCTATAAGCAACGTCACAAAAAGAGCAATGAGAGGCGAGGCAGAAATGGCTCTCGCTTAAAACATTGCAGGAAACTGTAGGGTAAGGAGTTGAAACAGCACAGAAAGAATTACACAACAGTTTGTCTCGAGGAGGTGGATATATACAACCAAAATGGAAGCTCTGTTTCCTCTCACATATCCCATTGCAAAGAGAAAGGAGCTGCTTCTTACCTTATGCTTTGCTTTATCTCTTTTTATGCATTGCACCTATGTAAGCATAGCATTTCCATGGATAACATACTCCAAGGATGGGCAGGCTTTAGACTTGCAGAATCTACTCCCCCCCGCTAGAATCCCAACCAGACTCGAGTGCTAAAAGCACTTAGAATTAAATTATTCGGAGTCCAGAAATTTGTTTTGAGCACCAGAACTGAACCAAGGGCACAGTCCTTCTGTACAGAATTCTATTCCTCTTTAGAAAGCTGGGAGTACTAATTTGTTGCCGCCATTACTATTTACTTATTTAAAAGGTTTCTGCACTGCCCTTGATTAAAATGATCCCAGAGTGAGGTACAATATAAAAGGAATGCATAATCAAACCTAGGTTATATAAATCAATATAACATTAAAACATCAACATCAATATTTGTTAAACAGCTCCGATTCAGGAACCCTTGTCAACATACTTCAAAGCACCCAGAGATCTCCCATTTAGAGCCTGATCTATCTTCTGCACATTCCTGGTCCTACTCCAGTCCGCAGAAAACAAATCGTGATGTATGTGCCCACTCGGAGATGCAAGCAGCATCTTTGTGCTATCAATTAGATTTTTGGGACTGCCAGTTGTGGAAACAGGAAAATGCTACTAAGCTTATTCTGAAGCAAGAGAAATGCTAGAAATAGTAAAGTACAGCTGGAACTGAGACTTGGCCATTTCCCTGCCGCTGCAAGAAGACTTGCAATAATGAATGTCTTGTGGCTGCTCAAGTTGGCATAGCATTTTCTCTTTCGGATTCATGGGGAAATTCTTTTCCACACAGGTAATCGCACCCACTAGAAACAAATAGAAAAAGCTGTTTTCTGGCTGCTCAGCCATGTCCTGGCTCATTTCCCCCACCAGAAATGTCATAAATAATTTGTATTCTTTATTTTTTTAAAAAAAGGATTGCAGCCATGCTTCTTATGCCATGAAAAAATGCACAGTGCACATATCAAAGCATTCTTTATCTAGTAAAGCCATATATAAATGAACTGAAGGGATCATTCCCAGCGCCAAAAAGACCAAACCACTGAGGGCTGACTTTTTCTAGACTGCGCAGGAAAAGCTATTCAGGGGCATGACAAATTAGCCATGCTGATGAGTCATATACAGTGGGGCAGAGCACACAGGAAATGGAAGCCAACTTGGTAAAGACAAAAACCAGCTATTGAAATCGTGTTGTCCAAAATAAAAATCTCCAGAAACAGATACGATACAGTTTTAAAATTGGACAGTGATAAGTTTGGCAAAAGCACTGTTTGACTCTTTTCTAAAAAGCTCTTTGAAAAAGTGGCTTTTCAGAACTGAATAAATTGGTCTGGAGAAAATAAGATTTCCTTTCCTTGCCGTGATCTTCCAAAGGTGTAGGGAACCTTTGGCTCGCAAGATGTTTCTGAATTACAATTCCCATCACCCCTGGCTATTGGCCATGCCTGCCTAGGGCTGATGGGAGTTGTAGTTCAGCTGCCCAACCATGTGCCCATGGGAAGCCAAAGAGCCAACAACAAAAGGCCTGAAGTGTCCCAGCATTCTTCCATTTGTATACTCCAGCAACAAGCATCCAGAAGCATGCTGCCTATGGTACTGGAGGTAAAATCTAGCCATCATGACCAGCAGCCATTGGTAGCCTTAAAATGTAGAGGTACCCCTGACCATTAGGTCCAGTCGCGGATGACTCTGGGGTTGTGCACTCATCTTGTTCTATAGGCCGAGGGAGCCAGCGTTTGTCCGCAGACAGCTTCTGGGTCATGTGGCCAGCATGAGTAAGCCGCTTCTGGTGAACCAGAGCAGCGCACGGAAATGCCGTTTACCTTCCTGCCAGAGCGGTACCTATTTATCTACTTGCACTTGATGTGCTTTTGAACTGCTAGGTGGGCAGGAGCTGGGACTGAGCAACGGGAGCTCACCCTGTTGCGAGGATTTGAACTGTCGACCTTCTGATCCACAAGTCCTAGGCTCTGTGGTTTAGACCACAGCACCACCCACATCCATTAGTAGCCTTATCCCCCTGCAAATCTGAAGCCATTCAAGCCAGTTACTGTCACTATATCTTGCAGCAGCTGCTTTCCATAGTTTAGCCATGTACTAGATGAAAAGAATGTCCTTTTATCTGTCTTGAATGTTCTAACATTCAGTTTTGTTGAATGGACCCCTGGTTCTACTATTATGAGCTCTCTATCCAATTACTCAATACCATGCATTGTTTTATACTAAATAAATAATCAATAAATTCAGATATCTCCTATTATGTCCCCCTTTACTTACCTTTCTCTAAACTAAAGTGCCCCAACATACTGTAGCCTTCTCAACATACTGGAATATTGCTGACAGAATATACAGAATAGCGCTTAAATAAAAATGTTACTAAACTGTCAACAGTAAGAAATAAAAAATGTAAAACTGAGGTTGGGAAAAATATGAGCACAGTAAAGAGGAGGAGCTTTTTCTCCCTTTCACCCTCTTTCTTCAATGCATTCAGTGGGCATCTACCCATCTGATGCATGCTGTAGAAATCTGCTGCATGTGTGGATCTGGAGCATTTATGTTTTAACTTTTAAAATATCCTGTGTTTATGTTATGTATGAGCCACTCTTTTTTATTTTTAAAGATTTCCAGTGATATATCGCCACCCTGGGCTCTTTTGGGAGGAAAGGTGGGATATAAATTCAATAAACAAATCCCCAACAACCCAGGCTTCCTTGCTTGATGGTTAAAAACAACCATCGGTCATGTTGCCTGGGCTGGTGCACATTCTAGTAAGAAAGACTACATAAAAATGAGCATAAGAAACAGAAAGGAGAGAATGAAGAAGTCAGTGCTTAGAGGCTTGCACACTAATGCCTAGCAGAAGCTTAAGCTCCCTGTTAATACAGTGTTTGTTTTTATTCTCCATCCTGAGTTTGCCAAGCATCAATTCTCTACTATTCATGTCTGCAGTTCATGCATGCAGCCGCTCTTCAAGACTGATGACCTATGCTATCCATAGCTTGGTCATTCTTCCACAGCTGAATAAAGGGTTTCCTAAAAAGTGTGTTAAAAAGGCATCGGGAAGTCTTTCTTTTCATTTCTGCAAGTTGCTGTGCCAAACAACCGAGAACTCTAAGTAGCGGACTAGAGCAGAAGCTCTCAAACCCAATTTTTAAAACACTATACTGACTTAACTAGGGGAAACAAATAGAATTAGGATTTTAAAATATGTATCATAAAATAAAGTCCCATTTTGACTACAAGTGTATCAAGCAGCGGACCACTGCAGTGCCAAAGGTGATTAATTTAATTTAATTATTAAAATTGTATCCTGCCCTTTCTCCCAAAGGAGCCCAGAATTTCTATTATTCAATAGGAGCAATCCTCCGTAAACTGTCCCAAGACTGGGTACTCCAGTGCCAGTTGCTGCAGTGGTACAAACTACTATCTGCACATAAAGCAGTGATGGGGAACCTGTAGCCTTCCAGATGTACTCGGACTCTTCACTTTCCCAACCCCTGACTGCTGGTGAGGCTGGCTAGGACTGATAGGAACTGGAGTCCAGCAACTTCTGGATGGCCGGAAGTTTCTCATCCCTTATATAATGTATGCACAGGAGACGGCCTGGCTACAAGGGATGAAGGACCAGCCAGTATGCAACCACCCATCTACCCATCATTGCAGGCAAATTGGCTCACATCAATTTAAGTGTGGAGACAGGGGAATTGCCTTCAGGTTTACAATCTAAAAAGGCAAGGAACACAAGGTAAGGAGAATGGATGGGAAAGGAAGAGAAAGGAGACCACATCACAGCTATGCCATAGTATGAAACAAAAGCAAAGAGATTTGATGGATGATCCAGTGCTGCCTCTGCATAGCAGGTTAGGGTACACCTAGAAAAGAAATACACTGTACAAAAATTCCTGAAATTGTAAGGCACTAGGGGGAAGCCTTGCCACTTTCTGAATTTAAAAAGCAAGAAGACTCAATAAAATTGTAGGATGAACATTTGATTCCAGAATTGTGGCACTTCTCATGGAACACAGACATGGAAGAGGCTGCTAACATGTTTGTTCTTAAAAAAATGAAATACCGTATTTTTCGCACGATTGGACGCACCGGACCATAGGACGCACCTAGTTTTTTTGGGGGGAAATAAAGGAAAAAATTTCCCCCTTTATTTCCCCCCCAAAAGCAGGTCAGGGAAACCGAACCAGGTCGAGGAACAGCGGGATAGTGGCGCTGCGCCTCCCTGCTGTCCCCCGAGCTTGTGGGGCTGGCCGATGTCTGTCCGGCGGGCGGGGCGCTCTGCTTCAGGGCGCCCCACCCGCCAGGCAGCAGGCTGCTATCCGCAGCGTGGGGAGCCCTGTGGGGAACTCCTGCAAGGCTCCCCACTCTGTGGATGTCTGCCTGGCGCGAGGGGCGCTCTGCTTCAGGGCGCCCCACCCGCCAAGCAGCAGGCTGCTATCCGCAGCGTGGGGAGCCCTGTGGGGAACTCCTGCAAGGCTCCCCACTCTGCGGATGTATGCCTGGTGCGAGTGGCGCTCTGCTTCAGGGCGCCCCACCCGCTAGACAGCAGGCTGCTATCCGCAGCGTGGGGAGCCTTGTGGGGAACTCCTGCAAGGCTCCCCACTCTGCGGATGTATGCCTGGCGCGAGGGGCGCTCTGCTTCAGGGCGCCCCACCCGCCAGGCAGCAGGCTGCTATCCGCAGCGTGGGGAGCCTTGTGGGGAACTCCTGCAAGGCTCCCCACTCTGCGGATGTATGCCTGGCGCGAGGGGCGCTCTGCTTCAGGGCGCCCCACCCGCCAGACAGCAGGCTGCTATCCGCAGCGTGGGGAGCCTTGTGGGGAACTCCTGCAAGGCTCTCCACTCTGCGGATGTATGCCTGGCGCGAGGGGCGCTCTGCTTCAGGGCGCCCCACCCGCTAGGCAGCAGGCTGCTATCCGCAGCGTGGGGAGCCTTGTGGGGAACTCCTGCAAGGCTCCCCACTCTGCGGATGTATGCCTGGCGCGAGGGGCGCTCTGCTTCAGGGCGCCCCACCCGCTAGGCAGCAGGCTGCTATCCGCAGCGTGGGGAGCCCTGTGGGGAATTCCTGCAAGGCTCCCCACGCTGCGGATGTGTTCCCGAAGCGCCTGGAGCTCTGCTTTCAGGGCGCCCGACGCTCCGGGAAGCAGGCTGCTATCCGCAGCCTAGACACGGCTAGCGGAGCGCTAATCCCGAAGCTTGGGGCGTGCGGAGCTCAGCGCGCCCCAAGCTTCTGGGCGCTAGCGGAGACCTTGCTGGCGCCCAGAAGCTTGGGGCGCGCTGAGCTCCGCACGCCCCAAGCTTCGGGATTAGCGCAGCGCTTCGCTAGCCCTGGGAGAGCCCTGCGACGTCGCGGGGCTCTCCCAGGGCTAGCGAGACCTTGCCGGCACCCAGAAGCTTGGGGCGCGCTGAGCTCCGCACGCCCCAAGCTTCGGGATTAGCGCGGCGCTTCGCTAGCCCTGGGAGAGCCCCGCGACGTCGCGGGGCTCTCCCAGGGCTAGCGAGACCTTGCCGGCACCCAGAAGCTTGGGGCGCGCTGAGCTCCGCACGCCCCAAGCTTCGGGATTAATGCAGCGCTCCGCTAGCCGTGGGAGAGCTGGGTCTCCCACGGCTAGTGGATAGCTTCCTGAAGCCTGGAGAGCGAGAGGGGTCGGTGCGCACCGACCCCTCTCACTCTCCAGGCTTCAGCGAAAGCCTGCATTCGCTCCATAGGACGCACACACATTTTCCCTTGCTTTTTAGGAGGGAAAAAGTGCGTCCTATGGTGCGAAAAATACGGTAATAGAATTTCACTAAGTGGGGAGGGGGATTTGCATTGCTGTCACCAACATCATTAAAGACAATAGGCAACAGGCGCTGGTGACATTCCTGTAGTGACCTTCTATAGAGCAGTCAATCTGAAGAAAGGGATTTGCCCCTCCTATAAAAAAGGCATATCTAGTGCTTGGAAAGTAAGATAGAAGTTTTATTTAGAAGGGCAGTATCTGGACTCAGCAACAGATGAATGATTCCTGTGCACTTATTGCACTAAAAATTAATTATGTGAAAAAAATGCAGGAAGCTATTACTTACTCAAAGATTTTTCCTAGCTGATCAACATCCGAGTTTCCACGAAAAAGTGCCCTGAAAAGAAAAACAGAAACACCTTCTGTAATTGAAGTAATTTTTTTAAACATCCTTCATCTAGCTTTCCTATGTATTTCCCAGTCTTGGCTGCTTTAGCTTCTTCAGTGTCTGACCAACCAAAAGAATACATTTTGAAATCCATCCAACATATGCTATCTGCGGGGTTTGTTGGACCCTTCTGACAGTTCAGTTGCTTCCCACCACTTGGAGACTGTAAAAATCAATGCTCACTGAGAGAGAAAAAGCTGGTTGTTAGAATCCACTCTTCCCAAACCATTTCCAACACAATATTTTTCTCCCAAGTGAGAGCTGAAAAGTCTTTTTAAAAAGAAGCTCTATGCGTGTCTCATAAGACTAAAACAAATGCTTTGGGTTTAATAGTGCCACTGACAGCAACTCCGTAAGTTGTGCATTTGAAATGAGTAGAGCTGCATTCCCTGTACAAGCCAATGTCAGGGCTATTCCTTATCCAAACAATAGAAACAAAATTAATTGTGAATATGAGGAACCTATTTATGTCTTCTGCAACAAGGAAGCCACATGCATTAAAGGTAGAAAGCCTATTTTTGCAAGCCTTATACTTAGTTTCTTAAGAATGACTCATCCTGAGCCAGGCATGAGTATCAAAGCATTTTCAACAGATTAACTCATTGGAAACCACCTCACAGCATGACAAAATCCACCAAGTATGTACAATAGGAAAGGGAAACTAGTGTTTAGGAGAAAAACAAGACCTCCCATTTCTAATCCAAATACACTACGGAGAGCCACGTGGGACCCTCTAGAACTGCCAATACAGCAGCCTCAAATTCTGGGCTGGAAGCCAGAGATGAAAACCAAGAGAAATAACTTCCAAACACAAATATCTGGATTCTGTCATTGTTAGTACAGTATAGCCAGCTAAGATGGTAGCTGCCTCTCGTGATGTTCTTACTTTCTCCACAATCCAGCATCAAATATTTTCGAAAGAGCGTTGCAAATTCACTCATATCACCCAATTAAAATGTCTGCTTGCGGTCGTCAACCTTCCAATATTTTTGTCACCTTCAAGGAAATGACAGGAACTCCATAACAGCATTCTTTTTTTTTTAAACCCACCACAGTCCAATGACTATGTAAGCAACTCACTACAGAATTGTAAGATGGAAGAATTTATAACATTTTTATTGAGGAACAACTGCTTTTATTTGCCAAGATGTGTGTGGTTCTATTCTGTGGTCTGTAAAAAAAATTCCAGGTTACGAAGAGGGTGAATTAGACAGGCAGCAGTGGGGTTGGCTTTTCTCTATTTTTATTTCCCCCTCCCTCCGTGAACAGCCGTCTGATCCGGACATTCTCACCCCAGGACCAGAGGTCTCAATACTGCTTGCCTTGGTTCCTGCCCCACCATCAGACACCCTGCCAATCACCCCCCAGGGCCACAGGATTAGAGGAGGTGACACTCCAGGCAGGAGCTTCAATGCCACCAGCAAAGTGCTCAACTAGCTACTTGAGAGATGGGAGAAGCATGTGTAAGTCAAGTCCTGACAAAGAACCAGGAAGGGGTGGAACCTCCAGCTCCTCTGATAAGCTCTCAGTCTGAACAGGTTTATTACTGAAGCAACAGCTCCAAGCTCAACCTTCCTGAACTGTGGAAACCAACAGCAACACAATGAGGAATGATGGTAATATGACATCTGAAACAAAACAAAACAAACCAAACAGCAAAACACAGTTTTCTTAACTAGCTCTGAGGAAGACATCTTTGGGATCAGCTGCTACCTGACCTTAAACTGGTAATGCCTAGAATTGAACCTGGAACATTCTGCATGCAAAGCATGGGCTCTACCATTGAGCTATGGCCCCTCTCTACTGGATTAGTCTAGCCTCCATAAAAACAATGTTAAAATTGAATATTTAAAACTGAAACCTCCCATTATGGGGAGGAACCACCAAGCAGAAACAGATGTACCAGACAAGGGGAAATCATATTTTCCCAGCAAACTGCAGCTTATATCCTGGGAACATGTGATTTCCCTAGAACTGACACGCTTACTGAATGCGGGTGTCTGGATCTTCCACAAAATTAAATAATGACAGCACAATGTCAAATACCGTAGTCTGCTTTCCAGTAGAAGGTCTTTGTGTTTTGACCCCAGGGAGTCCAAATGGCAGGCAAGGAACTAGCAGATGTCACAGCCCCAAAGTGAGATAATCTCACAAAATCCCTCTCTAATGTTGCTTGGGCTCTCCTCAGTTCTGTTTTTGTGCTGTACACAAAAATGCAAAAAATGCAAAAATTGGAAAACACCCTGCAGAATACCTGTAAACAATAATTGGCTAAAATGTGAGGGATTGCTTTGAAAATAAAATCCTCAATATTTTCAGCATCTTGAGATACAGCCTCGTTTTTACAGCTCTAAACCAACCATGGGGAAAATTTTTCACAAGCCACAGCTGACAGCACTGCATAATTTGGACCCACTTTGAGTTACTTCTAGTCAAATACAAGCTCCTGTAATGAGCTCTGCTTGGCTCCAGGCTGTCTCTCTGTGAGCATGAAACTTCTCAGTGTGGTCAGATACTTCTTCCTCTTCTTTCCTTTCAGTTACTATGTCTGTGCAAGTGGATGTGAGACACAGTGCAGGAGGAAGTTCATCTGAATGTCGCTATTAAGCATGATTACAAGCAAACGTTATTTCCTTACCAAAAATAAAAAAGAATGACTCGGCCACAGCTAGATGGGGGGAAACTTCTATTGAACATGTGCTTACTTCTAGAAATAGGCCTACCATTTTGTAGGTGTCAATATGAGTTTGATCTGAAATGGCACAAAAAATTGCCACAACATCCAGCACACTGAAATGGCAGGAATCTGATAGTGTTAAGTTTGCATCTGAGCCCAATGTGACCAAGTCCAATTGCAGTAGAGCACAAAGCTGGAAAGTATCATAGAATTACGGTTAGAAGAGACCCCCCAAGGATACAACCCCTTGCAATGCAGGAATCACAACTGAAGAATCCCTGGCAGGTGGTCATTCAACCTCTGTTCAAAAACCACTAATGAAGTTCACCACTCCACCACCTCCCAAGCTGGTTTCTTGCTTCTAATGTCTTTAAAGATTTTTGGTTTTGGTGGTGGTTATGTTTTCAGTGATGTGCTTCCAAAAGTCAAATGAACAAGGCCTGCTAACCAAATCCCATTAGGTAAATTTCCTTGGCAGACATGGCTATTGGCACAACCCTGGCTGTAAGGCATAAACGTATAGGTAAACAGCCAAAACAACCTTCTCAATGCCAGGACCCTTCTTATAGATTGTGGAACATTATGTTATCACCCAGAAATGAAATATTATATATCTGTTACAGATAAATGTCCAAACAGCAGAAACTGTCTATGATCCCATTTGCATCTGGAGAATGTCTGAAATTATGGACTCCACACAGCCTAGTGTAGGTCTGCATTTTTGGACATTCAACAGATGCATAAACAATTGCCACCTTTCCTTTGTGATTGGCTACAGCCTTCACATGTTACTGCAAACGTTTAAAAACATTCACTGTTAAGATATACACTTTATGTTTGCCTTTCCCCCTACATATACATGTATAAGCGGAAGTAGAGTTTATAGCCAGATGAGCTGTTGCTGGAACAGGAAAGAGTTGTCTGAGATACTATTATCCAGAATAAAGTGAATGTTGATACATACCCATGAGGCATACATGCACAATCTCTTTCTGAAGCATGATTTATAAATAATAACAACATAGTGCATAGTCCAGAAAGCTACCTCAGAAAGCCATATGTAAAAAAGCTTGGAAGTATCCAGTGGGATTCTTGATCCTTCCCTGTGAGTTTCAAGAGAGGACTACAGAACAGCTTCAAGCTCAAGAAATACAAGACTCACTGGGGTGCAAAGCCGAGTTATTACTGAGTTATTTCCATAGAAAAACAGATATTGGAGCCATTTAATAAAGGGAGGTGGTTGGAAGATACATTCCAAATCAGGGATGAACCATGCTGCCTGGAGCTGATGAGAGGTGGAGTTCCATAGCCTCTGGAGGGCACCATGTTAGGACTCGTCCATGCTTTTGCTTGTCCTGTGCCTAGAACCACTTGTCCCATGCTTTCTAAGCATGGTTCCAAGTGGTTTTTCCCTTCCCCCAAGAAACCTGCTCTTTAGTGCTAAATCAGAACCAACAGCAATCTGGTGAAAACTCAATTGCTGTTTGTTTCGATTCAGCACTAAACCACAGGTTTTCTCCGGGGAAAGTGGTGGGGCAATTGTGGGTGTGGATGAGCCCCCTAGTTACATCTGGACAAATTTTAAATAGCTGCAGATCTGCAAAGGCTCTGGTTTCAAGATTAAACCTCTTCATGAGACCCACATACTCAAAGGACTGTCTTGCCACACATGCTCCATATGAGGCTATACATCTATTAAGATGGGGGTGGTAGCCCTGAGCACTGTCTGATCATTACAACTGTAGCTGGGGGAAAGGCTTTTTCTATGTGGAGTGTCAGACCCTGGAATGCACTGAGGTAAGAAAGCCCGTTTTTTGCAAGATTTTGGAAAGGGTGCAATACATTTTTATGTCAACAGACAAGCGACTGACTGATTCTAAGTTGCTATTCTGGCTCAGCTGTGTTCTATTTAATTTTAGTTTTGCTCTTTGATTTATACTGTTCTCATGCATATAGTTTGTATTCTTTCTTGAGCACTCTGAGCTGTTGAAAAAAAGTGGCTTATAAAAAAAAATAGAGACAGACAGACAGAAAGGTTGATTCACATGGTCAGATGTGAATCAAATCCGTCTCACTGGGTCACTCCAGTGTTTTGTTTGGCTTGTTCTTAGTTCAATTTATACTCTGGTGTGCTAGAAAATGTACAAACCTCGCTGCATGCTGACTGGTAAGTGGAGAAGCTAATGGAGCAATCAAACGACGGCTTTACCAGGCATCCATTTTATAAGGAAACATTTGGGTTCTTAGCTCTCATTCTGCCATTTGCAAAGGG